ACACAATTTGATGGGTAGAGGGAGAGGTCAGTAAAGCAAAGAGGAAAGATTCAATGTATAAAACAAAGTATACAAAATTTGTAAGTAAACCAAGTATAAATTTTTTTTTAAAAAAAGAAAATTGTGAATCAAAATTCTGGCAGTAAATTTAGAAGTCTGTTGTCTTTTCTCTACCTCTTCTAACTTCAAAGCCACTGTGTAGAGATGAGTCCTTCTCAGAATTGAACGTTGATAATTTGAGCTGAGAATTCCCCAAGAATTTATTGTACTTCTATATAATTTACACTCATATCTTCATACCAGGATTTTTTCCCCTCTTCTATTTCTCTAAGAAACATATTTGGCTTCATGTTCCAGCATTTCTACATGTATTCTCAGGGATTTGAACCAAGAATCAGGCAATATCTTTGGCTTAGTAGCACAATGACCTATGAGACTATGATACCAGAGTTCCTCCCTACATATTCAGAGCTCCCTACATCATTGGTTAGTGCTGAAAAACTGGCCACCCTGCTCATTCCATGTTTTCTATCTTACAGAAGAATGTGCCCTAGTTGTAGAATGCTAGCATCTTTGAAATAAAGAGATCAACCTGTCATTTATCTCATCTTTCACCTTGAAGGAGTCAAACACCAGGAAAATAGATAGTTGATGATGGGTACATTTCACAATCAGTCTAAACACTTCCTTCATTGCATTTTACAGAGAAGAGCTACCTATTGACACTATTTGTGCCCTCAGCCACCCTGAGATCCCCATTCCCAAGAGAAGACTTGCTGACTCTTGTTCACTTTCAGGATGCCCTTTAACCTACCACTTGTTCAGTAATCTGCTACCTGAAAACCATCCAAAATGGCAAACACACCCTCATGTAATAGAAGCTCCTAAGAATAAAGCTGATGGTTGAGCCAAATACGACTGCAGCTTCAGTGCCTCCACACTCTTCGTTTTCCACACATTGATCCCTACATGGAGTTTTCCTAAGGATACAAGTTAATGGTGAATTAGAGTCCAGATACTTCATTACTGAGTTACAGGGTCCTAGAAGGGATGTGATTAGGCAGATAGTCTCCCTCTTAGCCCAGGCTATTTTGCATATGCCCCATGCCTTCTAGAAAAAATAAGCACATCCTGGTTCTCAGTATCATCCAACCCTGTTATATCTCAAAACACCACTGAAAAATTAAGTGCAAGTGATTTTAAATTGAGGAATTTCTAAAGATCACCTTGAAGCCTTTGTGACCCAAGAGAAAGACAATTAATTATTAAGTAATATCTCAGTCATAAAATGACAAATACAGCATAATGCCACTGTTATAAAACAGGACTGATATGAGATATGGGGGGAAACTAAGAAAAGAGGAAATAATAATAATGCACACGACATTGAAACAGACGAGGGAGAGAACTGTATAAAAGGAATATATGATTAGGTATTATTAGCAAGACTGAAGTCCAGAATATTTTTTATAATACTCTAATTAACTTTTTTATTTTAGTTGGTTCTGTTGTGCTATTGCCTGATTCATCTCTTATTCAGATTATTTGTGTCTTTTCCTTCTCCTTTTGT